CATCACCCTCAGAGGGAAGAAGTTCTTCCTCATGTTCAGCTGGAACTTCCCATGCTCCAGTTTGTGCCCGTTGACCCTTATCCTGTTGCTGGGCACCAGTGAAAAGAGTCTGGCCCTGTCCTCCTGATACCCACCCTGAAGATATCTATACGCATTTATAAGGTCCCCTCCCCGTGCCGTGCAGGGCAGAACAGAAGGGTCAAACACAATCTCCCCTTGCATGCAAGAAAAAATGGTTTCCCCACCCATGTCAGGTCTGCTGGTTAGGCAGCCGTTCCAGCAGGTCTCAGAATGTCACAGGACACGGCCGGAGGTGCTCCTGCACGCCAAAGCCCTGAGCCTATTTGCAAGACCGAGCTTGCTCATGGGTTCCTGCTCCAACAAAGTATTGGAAAATACAGGTCCTAGTTTGGTGTCGTGGTCCTCATGTATCTTCTGGGATGGTTATGCCATCCACGCCTGAATTTATGTTCATTGCCTCAAACCTGCTATTGGCTTCCTCAATGGAAAACCAAATGTTTCTACCAGGCCATTTCCTTGCTGAGTCACACGGCCAACACTAAGCATGTTCAAACACACGATTCACTGAAATGAGACCACCTAAAATACAATAAAGCCAATTTCCTTGCCTAATCAAGAAAAAAGGCTTTTTTATGTGCCGTTAGATGACTCCAGTTCCAGTACTACCTGTTCAGCATGATGAAAACATAAGACCCAGAGACAACCATCTCTAAAAGATGATGCAAGGAAGTTTTTGCCATTTGGGATGTGACCAGTCATCCATGGAAGTTCCCAGAGCGACCAAACTTCCCAGAAGCAGGTGCAAAAAAAGCCTGGAGAAAACAGTCGCTGAGAAATTTCCACTCTGGGAAAGTTTCTGCCCGGGAAACATCCAGTTTGGGCTCTGGAAAAACACAGGTACCACCTCCCGCAGAAGAAGAAATGACCTTCTCCAGCGCAACCACGGCTGCTCCCACCAGCCACACGGTTATCTAATCTTTCTGAACATTGCAGAGCTTCTGGCTTGAGTCACACGTTGCAGCAGTGATTTCAAAACTTAATTAAGCTGCATAAAATACCTTCAGTACTTTGGAGACGCAACAGATGGATTAAAAAAGGAGACAAACTTGTTCTTGTGCACGGATGTTTACCCTAACGACATGCCCAGCGCGTTTCCGAGTCCTGGCGAGTTACTGAACAACCAAAAGGAAGATCCAAAGACCTCTCATGTCTACGGCCACATGTGCAGAGACCTTCCCAGCACGCAGCAGGACCTTCCCAGCAACAGTTTTGGTCCCAGATCTAGTGCTGACATGCAAATTCAGTTTTGCCGCAGGTTATTTTCGTCGGTTCAGAGCTGGGCAGGGGGTTTAGGCCCCAACCCCTGCTTTCCACCTGTCTGAGCAAGGCCAAGCACAGCAGAACCATCCCCAGCACGGACGGCAAGCAATGGTAACGCTGGTGGATGCCACGTCCCACCGTGCCATGGAGATGGCCCACCACCCACTTCTGGTGGTTGAGACATCACGTGGCATGCGTTCAGTTCTCCTCCCAGCAAGGACTGGTTCTGTGAGACAGTGCCCACCCTTCGTTTTTTTGGATATTGTTGTGATTTTTAAGCATACAGTGAAAAATATGGGCTTTTTCTCCCCGTCTACCTGGAGAATGAGAAAATATTGGGTTCAGAACAGACTGGTACAAACCGCACGTCCCTCATCCTTCCCAAGGAGCCAAATTCCCTTGTTTCCAAAGAGGAGAATCCAACAAACATCAGCCGAGCCAGGTCTGTCCCGCGGGCTGTGGGCGGTGCTGGGTGGCCCCGTGCTCTGCACCCACGGGTGCGGGAGCTGCCTGCAGGCACAGCCCGGCTCCTGCCCGGGCCTCACCCTCACCTTCCAGCACAGCGCCCGGCCCTTCAGCGACTGAAATAATTGTAATAATAATAAAAACCCTGTAGCATGTTTACTGCGGGGAACTACAGGTATTGCTCATGGCAGGGGGGTTGGATCCCGAGGATCTTTAAGGTCCCTTCCAACCCAAACCATTCCATGATTCAATGATTTTGTGCAGGTTTAAAAGTTTCGGATCAAATTCAGCTCAGCGCATTCACAAACGTTCTGGTGTTAAGGTACAGCATCACTGCGAGGGGTCACTGTTTCCGTGGGATATCGGTCACTAAAGTTTTGCTCTTCCACAGAGTCAACTTCCAATTTAAAAATTCATCAAAAGCAGTAATTATTTCTTCTAATTTTCTTACATCTCTTCTAGGTGCCCGTACTCATTAGCTTGTTGGGGAACAACGCGTTAAGCAGCTTAACAGGTAGTGGGGAAACTTTTTATGGCTAGTACTTTTATTTTTTTTTAATGGAAGACTGGTTGGTGAAAGGTGATTCTGCCTCCGCCAGAGCCCGACCAGCCGGCT